GTTGCACATCCTTCTAGTTGCTGTATGTGGGATGCGGCCTCAGCATGGCTGGAGAAGCGGTGCGTCAGTGCGCGCCCGGGATCCGAACCCGTCCCGCCAGTAGCGGCGCACACGCACTTAACCGCTAAGCCACAGGACTGGCCCCAACAGCATGTTTTCTAAGTGGATATGAACCATCTAGGAAAGACGGAATTGCTAAAATGATGTGGTTGCGTAAGTGAGAAGGATGGAACGGTGTAGACGTTGGAGCATTTGGCCTTTGCTTGAAGCAGGTAGTAAGAGCAAAGGAGAGTCTGGGCACAGGTGTCAGGTGGGTAGGTATGATGCTTGGAGCTTATGGAAGTCCTCTCCGATTTACTTCAAGAGCTTCCATCAGATTCTTTTATTTCAGCATCTGTGATCCCAAAAAGATAGAAACACTACCCCCAGTCACTGTGGGAAGTGCTTTTACCTTCTATTTCACAGAGAAGTAGGGGTAGTTAGTCAATAATTCTGTCAGCCCATGTACAAACCCGTCTGCATCCACATCTGTCCTCATCGTCCTCCTTTAGCCACAGAAGAAATGTCACTCCTCTTGTGGAAGGTTCATTCCTTCCGCCTCTGCTCATGATCTTAGCTCCTTTCCTCCATCAGAGTTTTGCCAAGTCTGGTTGACCCTCAGCATTTTCTTATTTTGCTAGACTTCTCTGGGACACGGTATTTGACCTAGAATTCTTCTGCCTTGGCTTTGATGACACAGCCCTGGTTCTCCTGCTTCTAGCTCTTCTTTTTGAACCACCCTCCCTGACTTCTTGTCCTCTGCCTACACCTCTAATATTGTGGTCTCTTAGGTCCATTTTTTGTTGTCTTTTTCCAATTCATCCACTTCCTATTGCATTATCTCTGTCTCTTCTGTGGTTTTAACTACCAGGAGTCGTATGCTGATGACCCCACTTTTATCTCCAGCTCCAGTTTTGCTACTAAAAGTGAGATTTATGGATTTGATGGCCAATTGGACATCTTAGCTTTAGTTTTCAACCTACCAGTTGTCAAAATATGTGAATTGGTTAGCTACGTTGCATAGCACTTCCACCCCTGCGTAGACAAAGTAGTAGAATTTGCCATATCGAGGAATCTGACCCACTGGAGTGGTACTCTAGGCTTAGGATACTTTTATGTCCTGTGTCCTGCCACATAATAGGATTCTGTCCCCTGATCTGACTAGAAGCTCTGCTGATCATTCTGCCAGAATATTGTCACATCTGTCTTGAATGAGCCTCCGTGCAAGGTGCTTCGTACAAAACCAGGCTGCAGGACTGTTTATACCTCCTTGCTAACACATGTCTGAGAATTGCTTTCATTGTAACTGTATCACCTGCAACAAGGTAGGTGGGGAAAGGACCTATTGCTGTCACCTACCTGTAATCTTTGAAGTCTAAAACAAACGTGAAAATTGTGAGTGGCCAATTGGCTTGTATCCTTTCTACATCCCTGGGCAGCTCTGTGTCCTGTTCTATCCAATAACCATCCACATCTTCACTGTCTTCAAGATGCCTCATCTCAATGCTTCTCAGCATAGGACCTTGCCTCCTACTTCAAGGAGAAAATCGAAGCTACAAGATATGAATATGGATACTTACAAATCTATCTATATTTGTACCTGTCCTGACAGCTTCCCTTCTGATCTTAGGATGAAGAAGAGCCCCTACTCTTATTTAGAGATCGTCCTTGCACATGTCCTCCAGGTATTTTTATCCATCGGGGGAATCCCTCTTTATCATTCCAGAGCTGACAAAAGTGTGTCCTCCTTGGCGAAACCTCTGACGCTCCCCACCCTTCCTCTTTTGCTGCATTGCTGGCTCTTTTTTTTTTTTTTTTTAATTTTATTTATTTATTTTTTTCCCCAAAGCCCCAGTAGATAGTTGTATGTCATAGCTGCACAGCCTTCTAGTTGCTGTATGTGGGACGTGGCCTCAGCATGGCCAGAGAAGCGGTGCGTTGGTGCGCGCCCGGGATCCGAACCCGGGCCGCCAGCAGCAGAGTGCGCGCACTTAACCGCTAAGCCATGGGGCCGGCCCACTGCATTGCTGGCTCTTTTCTTCGTGCCACCACCACGTTGTGCGTGGGTCTCTATAATTACACTTCTTTAAGGGGCTAATAGCAGGAGCTTGGAGTTGAATAGTAGGCATTTGTCCAAATCCTACCTCCCCCTCTTCTTAAATGCTTGATTTGTTGGGACAAATTATTTGAACTTCCCTGAGCTTCAGTCTCCTAATCTGTAAAATGAACCCAGACTGCCTGGGTTCAAGTCTTGTCTTCGTCATTTATTAGCTGTCTGACCTGGGCCAGCTTCGTAGTCCCTCTGTGTTTCAGTTTCCTCATCTATAAAAAGGACAATGATACCCCACGGGGTTACTGCTGGTTAAATGGATTAATGCGTGGGAAGGGTTTGGAACAGTGCCCAGTACATAGTGTGAGTCAGATAAGCATTTGTTCTTATTATAATTCATCTGTTTACCTAAAGCAGTGTGTGAACTGGGATAATAAGGAAAAGCACTCTGCGCATGACTGTGATAAGCACTTAAAGAACGGAGGCTGTTACGATGATTTTCATTATCCTCACATTTATGTAACAGGAGCTGCTTGTCTGTCTGCTCTCTAAGGTAGCTCCTTGGGCACAGGGAACCTGTCTTAGCACAGTTCCTGGCACATAGTAGGTAAGCAGGAATGCATACTGAATGAATGCAAGAGTGAAGCCTGTTCTGTGGGCACCTCAAACCCAATACATCCCAAATGGGCTTCGTCACTCTCACCATGTATTCCCGAGTGCACATGGCTCCCCCGGCCCCCACTGTCCCACCAGTCCCCACTGCTGGTGCTGGGAGACCTCCTGGATTCGGCCCTCTGCTGCACCCACCCTGCCTGATCAGTTAGCAAAGGTCAGCTGCGGAATGTTAGCTCTTGAGGTCGTGCTCTCCACTGCACCCGCAGTCCCACCAGACCACCTGGGACCCTCAGCATCACTCACAGGAAGGCGTTCAGTAGCCTCCTAACTGTGCTTCGGGCCTTCAAGTCTTGTCCCAACAATATTTCAAAAAAGTCCTAATTTCACCTTGGGTAAATTTAGTACCCTCCCTCTTCTCAGTTTCTTCACTTTTAGAATAGAGATGATAATAATGATAATCGCATCTACTACTGTAATAAAGTTACTGTTTGCTGAAAAGAATGATTCACAGAGAGTACCTAGTTCAGTGTCTGCCACTAATAAGCTTACTCAGTTCATGCCAGTTTGCACTATGATTGTATGTAAGATAGACACAAATCTCTTAGCCTGACATGAAGACCTTTTATGATCTCTCGTCCCTGCTTTTCCAGCCCCTTCGTCCACTCCCTCCCCGCCCCATGAGTCTCTTCAGTAAGGTCACACTCCTTTCTGCCCCCAGTCCTGCCATGCTATTTCACACCTCTCATCTTCCTCTTC